TTTTTTTTTTTTTTTTTTTTTTTTTTTTTTTAATTAAAATAAGATATAATGTGTAATAAAATCTCTAAACAAACATGATTTTTTATGAAAATAAGGAACTTTATCAACAAAAAATTATTTTAATTATAGCCACTTTAACCATAAAACTTTTATGAAAGATTGTACTTATTAAAGTTGATTATACAGTGCGTTTTATTTTGACCAAAAAGTAACATTGATAATTCTTGTATTAAATCATAGCTGACTACATTAGATAGTACCCTGCTGATAATAAATATTAATAATTAAGATAATGTAAGAAAAATGGTCTTTTTGTTACAATATGTAGGCTCCAAATCAGTTACAAGGGTCACCGGGGTTTACATGGAATATAGAGGAGTTAGCGCAGCTACAACCGGCAAAGATCGAGGAATCTCCCATACAGCAATTTGATGTCTTGGATCAAGAACTAGAGACAAAAGCTCAAGTAGCTATAGATCGATTTTTCAAGCAGAATCAGATCATTCCTAGTCCATGGAATGTTAAACAACAGAAAAATATACCATGTATATCCTCGGATACCCCTAGTAGACCTATATGTGATTTAAATTCTACTAAGGAACTTTCTAAATTAAAAAAAGATGGTACGTTACAATAAAGTCAATATTTTCAATATATTAAAATAAATTTCATTGCTGTTATAGTGTGGTGTCAAACAGTATTGTCTTTACCTTTGAATTTGCCACAAAATGTCGAGGAAGCTTTGAAGCCGTTTTATGTCTTCACTCAGGTTGGTGAAAATTAATTATTAAAATGGAAATAATTTCATACTTCCTGTATAAAACTTGCTTTTGATGTCTAATATTATTGAAATATTTTTATATTGCTAATAGGAACAAAATACAGAAAACGATGATGCAAATTTGAGCAATAATTCATTGAGAAGAAAATTATTTTTTAATCATGATGAATGTGCTAACAATGAAAGTATTGCATCTTTGTCGCCAGTTAAAATGAGTGAATCCATGTTGTTGTCTTGCAGCCCTCCTCAAAGTGGTATGTTTGTTCATGGCAGATTAAAGGTACGCAAATAACAGTATTGGCGAATAAGATTTATAATAGCTTGCAGTTTGTCTTACTGAAATTAATATTTCAGATGCTGCAAAGTAGGCGACACAGCGACGAATTGTCTACAGCAAAATCTGAACATTTATCATCACCTAACATTTCACCGATATATAATGCTGAAAACAATATGTTGCATGAAAAGGTCGGGCATTCTTCTCATTCGGCCACTCAGCTAGATTTTATGATGGACATAAGCATGGATAATATACCTCTGGAAAAAAAACAAATTTCGATTAATGATTGCGAAAAGTTGTCAGGTAAGCTTATTTTTGTATTTGCAGCATGCTTTTCATTTCAATCTTTCCTTTTTTATTATTTTTCACTTTTTTATCGTTACTTACTTAACATAATCTTAAAATATTTGACAGAAATTGTCTTTACTATTTTAATAAAGCAAAAAATAGCTAACTTTTCTTACAAATATTAAAATTTCTCACATTGTTACACATCAGTTACATATCAAATAATAATAATAAAATAAAGAAATCATATCGTAGTTAGAATTCTGAAAAAAATTAGTACCGTTAGGTATAGAAAATGTATAAAAACAAAATAATTTATCTAAAAATATATTAATTACAATTTTTTTAAATAAATTTTCTTTAAAAATATTAGATAATTACACATTACACCCCATTCTGTCTAAGAATTAATTCTATTGTTTAACTATTTAATCTATAGAATTTTCTATATTACTAATTTACCAACTTCCTGTCACAAGAACAAAGTAAAGTATTCAATATTGTATTAAAAAATATATTTTAGATCATGAAAATGATAAACGTATCGAGGAAGATCATATATTAATTGGTCATAAAATTGATCATAAAACAAATTTAGATGAATCTGTTAATATGGTGGAATTACCAAGATATTTAAATACAGTTGACAACACTGTATATTCCAGCGATGTGATATTTAGTGATAAAGATCATAATAATGGTGCTAGTTTAAAAATGATGACTGAGATGCAAAATTTCACACGGGGAAGTTATAAGCGGAGTAATGTAATGTCTGGCGCGTTCACTCAACAAAGTATCTCAAATACGGTTCAGGACACCGGCTATCAAACTTATAGTATGAATAACACAATGCACATGGCAGACAGTTACAGCGATACTTCGGTAAGTCACAAAACTCATTGTAACGAACGAATAGTAACGTCTAAGGATAATGTTCAACTATCTTGGAAAGAAAATATGAGCAATGTATTCAGTTCTACGCCTTCTAAATGTAATAAAGAAAATGGAAGTTGAACAATTATCAGATTCTGAACGGAGATAATTAAATGCTTGGGCCATTATCATATGATTACCATCGCAAATAGAGCAAACATGTATAATCTTTTTTTTAACCACCGAATTATATTTGTCATTATCATTAGTCGATTAAATTATACAACGTTCTTTAACATCTCAATTTACTATCCACTATTACTTTTGCTTCTTTTAAAAAATTGCCTTTTTGAAATTCAATTGATTTGGCTCTAAATGTCAATTAATTATCTCACAAATGCTATTCTAAATTGTAAATATTTTTATCTCAATGTGTCTTGCACAAATTCTTTTTCAATACTTTTGCATAATTAACACTGTTTTCCTCGTTAAAATATTTGAAGCACTTTTCAACAATTGCTATGAAAACATTAACTTCAAATTGCTCAACAAAAAAATACTTACGTTTTTTAACTCTTAACAATTTGATGTATATATTGCGATGTATTACGATATATATCCTAGTAACTAGGCATATCAAATGTTATGCTTAAGAAAAGGAGATGCTAAATGAAAAATATACTCTTCATAATTTTCTTCATTTGTTTCATTAGATAAAATTTTCTTGTGGTTACAGCCTAAAATATTAAATATACTCAAGATATATAAGCAAGATCAAAAACTTAACAAACATTTTACAGCATGATTTATCTAAAATGAGTAATAATATTAATAATAATGATGTGTATGTATGTATATGTGTGTGTGTGTGTGTATGTGTGTGTGTATGTATATATATATATAATTTTAATATTACATATTACGCCAACAAAATTTTTATAACATACAATCTGTGTGTGTATACATATACATATATTTTATGTATATATATAAACATATATGTCTGTGTATATATAAATTAACATATCTGATCTTTCAAACTCAAACTCTTTGTATTTGGCACGATGTCATGTAATGGAAGCAAATCAAACACATCATGTCTTTTGATTGTCCCTGGCTAGTTACAACGACACTCCGTAATCTGCTTTGCTCCATACTTTGTGTGTTTTTTTGGTGTCTGTCATATGATGACTTTGCTTGTCAGCCGGTTATAATAATAATAATAATAATAATAATCGTACACTCTGCGTAAAATAACTCGAAACGGGCAACTATTTTGTGAAGTTCCGTGTGATATCGTGTAATGAATCGACGCTACGCGCGCATTGAGAACACGCGACTTTTAATACTTCTTTTTCTTTCTTTTTTTCTTTTTCTACATAATGCAATTATAGAATAACAGTCTATCGCTTCATTGTTCCGACTCCGCGACGAACGCATGATTGCACATAAGCCCCCCCCCCCCGCACTCCCACTTCTTCTAGAAAAACCGGCTGACTAGAGTATTTCGCCCGAATGTCAGGATTTACTGGTATTGCTTTACATTATGTGATTAATCGATTTAAATCTACGCTTTAAATCTATCGATTAGCTACACGTATTATGATGATGAATGGCATCCCACCTCCTACTAGTCGATTAATTTAGAATTAATGACACGTGGAAGAACAGATCTTCAGTCGTAGCAAACGGGAGCTAGACTAAGAGAATGTTAACAAATCATCAAGCTATAACATGAATTACAATTATCAACTTGAAGATGCCAGCTCAGCTTTAATCGATATCGTAGAGTATTCAAGGTGTGAGCAAGAATGCCAATTAACCCTCGCCTGGATCTCAGAATTCGCAGATCAAACGCATATAAGTAATGTCGAATACAGTGTGAAAAGTGTATCTAATAAATTATGCAATACGTGATAACAATTTGAGAAAAGGTACGTCTAAATTTGCAGAAATTATTGCTGTCGATTTTCAATCGGTATTAATACAAGTAAAAAATTTTCCCGCGATCGCAAATTTCCGAGGGTTAATTTTAATAATCGTATTCATGGATAACTCTCTTTCGTTGCTAAATAACGTAATATATTAAATTCTAACACTTCAGATACACACCGAAGTATAATAATAATATACTAATTTCTGTGATGTAATATCACAGATCATAACAAGAAAATAAAATTTAAAAACAAAAAATTTAACTCTGCGGCTAAATCTTGTATATAAATTATGTAATATTGAGCAGAATGTGTTTAATATACATTAAATACAATAATTTCAAGATAGATTCGAAAAAAAACATTGGTCATTCGTCCACATTTTTATAGATTTTTAAATTATGTTATTACGGAGTTATTTTTCTCTTAAATATACCCGATATCATCATATTGAGCGCATGGCATTCTTTCTTGCACCTTCAGATTGAATTCTTTTCTGGTGTAGCCGACTTAGCTACAATCACATAAAATATTGGATGTAGCGCATCCTAGTCAAAGTCCATTATGCAAATCGTGTTCTCAAATTCTCTTTGAAAAAAAAAAGAAAAGAAAAGTATCTTTTGTCCAGAAAGATCGTGATCTATAACTCAATCATTGCCAGAACTAATCCAATGCTTCAATAGAAACAAATATGTTGAATGTTTTGCGAAAGTGTGTGATCGATTTGTAATTACTTGAATTCTACATATGCAAATGTGCGTTTAATCAACGATTTGATATTCTACAGTATCGATGACGACTCTTCGCCCGATACAGCGAAGGATCGTCACGATAAGTAACCCTGCGTTTCGAGAAATGACAAACAAGATGTATCTCTACAAAATTGTCGGAGCAATTGTTTCGCACGCATCATGAATTGATATGTAGAAATCGATCAGGTTGCGCTACAATAGTGTGTTCATTCCAGATCACTAAATTTACACTCTGTAGTGATATTTAAGCTAATAAATTTGCATACCAGCGAATCATTAGGAAGAGCCTTTATCACGCGGGCAGCGCCCTGTAAAAATATATGTTCTCTCTATATAGAACTAGAAATGTTAATGTATGCACGACCAGTTTGCCTAATATTTTTCTCTCGCGCGTGCCGCTGCGCGGCACACGATATCTTACAATTACAAGGTATTATCAAACTTCTCTCCTTAGTGTTACGGTTTTTTTTTTTTTATAAAAATAGGTTGTCTCCATGGTAACGCTACTCCTCATCTCTTTCCGATCGATATTATCATCAGCACGATCGCTTATATATTCAGTCTCGAACTGAATCACCAAAACTGGTCTATGGATACATTAGAAGGTCTACATATATACAACACTGTCTAAAATCATCTTGAAAGCCACAAAGAGAGTAGAAAAAGACGTGAAATGATAAAGTTTCTTCGTTTCCAAAACCATTGTTGAACATATCTCAGTATCTCCTTTTTTTCCTCTTTTTTTTCTTCATCTTTTTTTTGATAATACGTTTGTGGCACATATGTTGTACACATGTGCAACGATGCACATGGTATATTTCGTGTGCAGGGTGCCCTCAATTTCGCGTACCGAAGAGCGCCACAGCGAAACGTCTGTGGAAAGCTGAGTCGTGAAAAAATGCTTACGCGCTTTTCAACAACGAGCAGTAATCTTCGAATCGCCGAGAATTTAATGTTCAATAAAATCCACGATATATAATTAATTAATGAGCTCGATCATGTGATTTATACTGATTACTCGCTTGCGGAATTCGTAAATTGCTGCCGAAAGGAGAGAAAAAAAGAAATGCGAATTTCCACGATCCAGCTTTTCCCCTAAAGTCTTGCGCTCTCTCAAAACAGAAATTTGGGAACACCTTGTACGTATATACATGAATGAGTATGTTCGATCTTAATGCGTGCAATGTGTACATCTGCATATACATGCACATACATCTTATATACATATATACACATATCATAGAAATGTGTATGCGTTTGTAGTCGTTTTTTTTAAATATATTATCAATTTCTCTATCGAGTACACGGTCTGTCGCGAGAATAACGATTCCGAGTCCTTTCTTAGCGAGAATGGGAACACTGGGTATTTTCTATTTCAAATTGAACGGTGTTGGAAGACGCCATGTTGCGTTCGAAAAAGAATCAATCCCGTTACTTCCGCGACAGACCTCTCATGACAGTATAGATGTTAATTATGATCTCTATACATATCTACAAAAAAAAAACTGATATAGAACTCTATTATTAATTAAACTCTCTATGACTTAATATGTATAATCGTCTCACAACAATTCTAAAATGATTATCATTACTTACTTCAGTACGTAATAATAATAATTTCGGCGATTATTTACGTTAACGAAAGAGTTCAGACAACTTGATCTTGATATGTGTAACAGCGAGGATTCATATGCTGATTAACGTTTCATTTTGTTTTAGCTGATGTTTCAAATACTCTCGGTCATGTAAATATTCGATACTCCGCCACGCGCTCATCATTTCACTTTCTATGCAAAATAAGACCTATCACACCCATCGCAAAGTCAATCGGCATCCTCGTTCTTGCGACGTATCTCAAAATCAAGATTATCGCAGGTGTGTCCGTTAACGTAGATAATCGCCATTCCCTTCATTGATATTCCATGAATTATTCAATTGCATTTCAACAGCGTGTTTAAAAAGTATCTCTTTAACACTACATCTCTATTATTGCTTGTTGTTTAGTGCTACCGAATGTATTTTGGCATATAGCATGTTGTAAACCCTGAGCAACCACACCACCAATCATTTCAAAATGCATCCAACAACCCTCACCTTTCTAGCTCAACTAGAAATTATGGAAGAAGTTACATGCGCTGTATGTCTATGACCAGATCAAAGAAACTCTCATAGAAATTGTTGTCACATTTAGAAATGAACAAAGAATTTTGCAAGTAGTTATTTAAAAAAAAAAAACAAGAAAAAGAAAATAAAAGTACCTTTAGAAATTTGTTGCTAGATGACAGAATATTTTCCATTCGTTGAGCGCAACGGAAAGATTTTAATGTTATATTAATATTTTTATATACCTCTCGTAAAGTGTAAAATTTGTTAACGTTAACCTCTAATCTGCTTCAGGTGCCGGTTTCCCTCCCCCCACTCCCGCCATCTCTTACGCCTTTTTTCGGGAGTGCTTGAATAATCACTCGTCGTAGAACGTCTTTTTGGCTTTGAAATACCTTCCGGTTTCGACGCCGGATTAATACCTTGCGTTACGTGATGCGTTCTGCTGTGATTCAGCGCTGTGGTGACACCAGCCAAATTCAAAAGCGCGTCCGCGCCTTCGGCAATTTTCCTCTGCTCATCAAAATCCGGATTTAACTCCTCCTCGCTTGAATGTTTGCTGTGGAAAAGGTAAAGAAAGACTTTATTTACCCTGCATTTAACTTTTAAATCGGCCGTAAGACAAAATCCGCGTATTTTTACCTTTCCAATTTTATCGAGGTAATACAGCTGTAAGTGTGATCTTCGCTGGAACTTCTGGTAATCACAGGTACCAGCTTTTCAGATTCCGGCAACTTTCGCTTACGATCTACAAGTAAAGAAACGCGTGAGCGTATAAATTATCGTACATCTTCGACACTAAATCTTTGCTATTTTTACACTCAGTCGACGACAACACGCATTTCGAATGACCAATACCTTTGTTGTGATTTAAAATGATGGGTCCATGTTTGAAAGAAAGCATGGCGGCAGCTGCCGCATCAACGTCGCTGTCTATTTCAGTTTCCGCGTTGTCGCTGATATTGCTGGATGCCAGTCTTTTGGATAGATACGGGAAGAGAATCGGATCCGGGAGACGCGTACTCGCGCACTTCCTGGGCGTTTTCTCCGACGCGGACAGATTCTGAGTCGTGGGAGGGGGGAAGGGAGCGCGGGACAACGCTTGCATCAGATTTGGCCGATATTGTGCATCCACCATCCAAAGCGATCCCTTGCCTAGATTCTAAAAATAGAAGGACAATACGAGTAAGCGTACAATATGATCGGAGGTCAGTAACATTCGTGCAAATTTCACAGCAAAACTTTAGAGGAGAAATGTACGCTTACCGGAGCTTTCTCCACTTTCCGAAAACACTTGTTAAGGCTCAGATTATGTCTGACAGAATTCTTCCATCCGGTAGGGGCGTTTCTAAAGTACGGAAAGCGGTCCAGGATCCACGCGTAAACCTCCTTCACGGGTAGCGCTTTTACAGGGCTGTCCTCGATGGCCATGAATATTAGGCAGGAAAATGAATACGGTGGTTTACTATTTCTGTGTAAATGAGGATCATACGGTATATGGGTAGGATGCTTGTTGCGATTAGACATTGGCAAATTATTGTTGCTCAAAGAAATCTTCGTTTGATTACTTGGCGAAGTATTGCAGTGACTTTTCGCAGATTCCTGAAATATTTGCATCGATTTCGGACAATTCTTCGTGGGATGCTGATAGTTCTGTCCGTTTCCGTTTAGCGTTACGACGTTTGTCTTTCCGTTACTTTCTGCCGATAATGTCAGAGAAAAATTAATGGATGGTTTTAATTAAAAAAAAAAAAAAAAAACAACGTATAAGTGTGTATATATTTTACCTGGACAGAAGCTATCGTCCAAGCTTGATATAGAGTTCGTGTTCTCCGAAAAATCTGCCATATCCTCACAGATATTGTTGTTCAACATATTTTCGTGTTTCATGTCTTTAGATGGGTTTGAAATTTCTAAACCCTTAAGTAAATTCTGCTGATGCAGCCAACTGAGAGAGGTCAATTCGTCATCCGACTGATTGTTCTTTTCGATGGATTTTTCGCATCTAGGAATTTCACCCTGACATTTCTTGGTCGAATTTGAGTCGGTTAGCACGCTGGCGTTCTCCTTCTCCCTGTCGTTCATCGTGTAGGCTGCTTTTCCAAAATTGTAGTCCTGAGTGGAGTTCAGTTCTATGTCAGTTTCGATACCTGATGCATCTGGCCTATCTGGTGGCATGTTGCGTAGAGTCTTTTGGTCACTGCAAGTAAAATTGTTTTTGATTTTCGTTATCGAACATCTCATCGTGCAAATTTCTTTCTTTCGCATACCAAGTATTACATAAATTTAAATAAATTTAAATTTATTTAAATTTATTATTATCATTTGCAAGTTTTCAACGATAATTTGACGATAATTGCAAAGCTAAAAACCAGAAATAAATGCAACTCGTCCTCTTCAGTTATAAATTATTTATAGTATATATTATGAAATATCAGGTCCTTGTAAAAATCTGCGTGTAGTTTGTGAAATTTTCTTGTAAACATAACAATATAAAAAAATGTTGATTAACCATCAATATAATTTCTCTCTTTTTTAACAACCTGTTCTCGTCATTTAACTAACTGGTTCAAGTTTTATTTAAAAAAATTTAATAGATGCTAAATTGAGGAGATTTAAAAAAATGCAAAGATTCGAAAAATGACCTGATGTTTGCGTCTCGTGATAATTACGCTTCACGTAATTTCGTGATTCTCAATAAATAAAACGATAGGACAATTTCGCAATAAAGATTGCGTTTTCCTCGCGTTCCTACGAAGAAAACTTATCGCTTCAAGTTCGACTAGATATCATTTATCTCGAAGGTCTGGCTTGCCATCTGCTTCGAAAGTTTCATGCACGTGAGTCGCGAATCATTCCGCGCGTGCGAACGTCGCATAATATATCGCGTTACGGATGCAAAAATCCCCGCGGAAATGGCAAAAGAAATAGGGCCCGGCCGCTTTTCTATTTTTGGTGTGTCACGCGAGAGCGTCGCGGCGAAGCGTTTGGAGCAATCGAGATTGAAATCAGCGCGCATGTGGGACCGCCGCGACGGCGGCTCCGGACGGCCACGAAAGCCAGGTTGCGGCGCCGCGATCGTCATCGCGACGTCGCGCACCGGGAGATTGTTTATTCGCTAATAAGCGACAAAATGGCCGGCGCACTGTCGCGAAACGCGCATCGGAATTTCAAATATGCTCCACGATCTTCGTGGAAACGAACGTCATCCTCGCGGCGACGCGAAGCGCTCCGCCGCGTGTTTCATCAACGCGTTTCCTCCACCCGGATGATCCTAATGTTCTCGTCCACCCGTGGAATTTGCAACTCAATGGCGTCTACTTGTGCAACGCACTATTTTTCAAACATGCTTCCTCGCGCTCGCTCGCAAATCGAATCGCTCGATCACCGCCCGTGAACAATCAGCTGCGACGAAATCGTCAACGGCTTCGTCGACGACACACTAAACTGGGAAATAAAATATCAAAACCACACCGCACTATTCGGATCGTCTTGTGGTCCCGCGAGCATCACTTCTCGCACTCCGACGAAAAGGGAAATGGAAAGCGATTTTTTTGCGATTTTTCAGCAGGCGACGCGGATGTTGACGAGAACGTGAACATGTGAGGACGATGTTCGTCATCTGGGATCGCGGCGCCGCGACAATCGGACGCGGAGTGTCCGTTTTTCCATATCGTCAGCGCGGAAAATTAAATCCACGCGAATCGCATCGGTTTTCGCGTACGTATCGCGCGACACGCCAGATCGCATTCGTCGGATCACGTCGCGAAGAGTGGAAGCGTGGCG